GGCTCTTGCAGCGTCTGGCCTTTTGCCCAACCCATTCCAGACCTCATGTGGTATGCCATCTCCAGAACAACACGCCACGACATCGAATGCATCAATATCCATGTTCTGTGCAGTCTCTACACCATGTCCGTTGTGCGTCGTCCTCTCCACGTCCAGCTCGCATCTTGCAGCAGCAAAGATGGGCGCAATCTGCTTGTTGTACATCTTGACGGCGCCGCCCTGTCCTCCAAACGGATTGACGAGTACCTTGATCCGCTTTCGCCGTTGCGACGCTCCGTATGCGCGATCTAAGAGTTTCTCTATCCATGCCTGTACCAACTGGCTATCGGGCTTATCGACATGGTAGCTGATTGTTGCTGGGCGAACGGATTTGTTGGATACCGTCTGCGCATATTGAATAGTAATATGGTCGCCGTCTGCGAGCTCGGCCCAGAGAATGTTATAAAAGGGTATTGAGCGAGTGGCTTTCTTCTCTGTTAAAGTTAGCGGATGCTGTGCGCTTGAGCATTGCAGAGGTGGTGCGTACTGCCAGGAAGAGGCAGATTACAGCAATTGGCGGTTTTGGTATCCACGAGGGCTTCGTCTGTCAACTGTCAGCTATAAGGGGTTCACTGAGACCCTGTAGACTGCATCATACCCAAAACAACGAGGGAATCGGTGCCCAGAGTTAGCGAAGCATCTCTGTTTACAGCGAGTGAGTCTGGCGCATTGATGCGCTCGTGGGGCTCTGATGCTTGCGGTGCTTGCACGGGAGCGTCATCAGGAATCAGAGGGACGGTGGGTTCTGTAAAGGCATCGCCTGCACCAGCAGTGGAGGCCATGGTTATCGCTGAATTGTACGGAGGTCACACAGCATGCTGCACGCAAAGTTCAAGCAGCGAGTGCCTGCGACAGGCTGTATTAACTAGAGGCTGATGTTGGTCGCTCGGTCGCGCTCAGATGCGTGGACGCGCGGATCAGACGGGCGGGTCTGATGCTAAACAGGAGACAGGGAATGGGCCAATGGACCCTGCGTTGCTCAGCCGAGGCCCACTGCTGATTGGCCAACACTGATGGTGAACTGATTTATTCTCGTCTTCTCGCTACCAAAGCCATATTAACCTTAGTCTCTCATCACGTAGCCCATTTTCGAGCCATGCTAGCCCACCCGTCGAGTAAGCCCTATACCTTTTCTGCAAGCCTCTCATATGTAAACACCCGCTCAGGCTACGCCAACCTTGTTGAGACCCTTCAGTGATCCCAGGCTCAGTGCAAGGCCTTGCGAGCGACTGCGTATGCGCACAAAGCCGGTAATGGGCCCGTTGTCTCCTTCCTTTTCTATGCTCAGATTGGCCAAAGCATCCTCACCTGGACTGGGTTAGCCATTGCCAATAGTGCGAGGGGAAGCGGGACTTACCAAAAACGCTTCTTGCGTACAGATTCGCCGATAGGAACTGGCAGTCGCCCTTCATTGATGCTTCTGGTGTTAGGCAGCTCATGTTGGTGCTTGCCATGAGCTGGTTCAGGAACTCGCGCAGACTCTTGGCCTTGGAGTTGATATTGACCTTGTTCTCCCATTCAAACTCGGTCCACATGGTGCGGAACTGCGTCTCGGTGCATTGTGCTGGCTTGATGTAGTCCATAATGTCCACGTGCACGTCGTTGAGAATAACGACATTCGAGTCAACACCCTTTTCACTGTTATGCATTAGCCTAGCCCCTCATCAACCACCACGCTATTGTACTTACCCTTCGTAGATGATGTTTCCAAAAATGACGCCAGTGTCCGTCGATGAAACTAGTCAAGTCAGCGGTTCAAGCTCGTCTCAACACAGGCGCAATTCTCTTACCCTTGATCGTCGCTTGGATGTTGATGAAGTCGTGAGGACCGACATTTTGCGTCGAAGGCCTTTCGACTACCTTGAGATCGCCCAGTGTCGCAAATTCAATTGTAAGGTTCTGCAACGTCTCGGTCGTTTGGTTCACAAGAAGCACGTCGAGTACAATGTCAAATTGATGGACCTGCAAGTATTAGCACATGCCTTTGCCCTACTAGCAACATTATGCGTTACCTTGACGTAAGCTTCCGCGTACACCGCATCAGAGAAACCCGTGAGCTGTACAACACGGCTGAGTTTCGATGTGAGATCCTCGGTCGCGCTATCACCTCCGGTGGCTCTCTCCAAGTCTTGATCGATCTCATCAATGCCGTCCGAGTCCTTCTTCTTCAGCTGGCGGATGTTGAAGGCGTCATCAACGTTAACAGCTGACTTGGCTCTTTCTGAAGCCTCCTTGGCCGCTCGCTTCTTTTCTTCCGTCTGTACCATTGTTCGGAATGATTTCCGTGTGTCCTCGAGGAAAACTGTTTGAATTTCCTTTCTTTGCGCAAACTCTGACAGCGAGCGCACACATGACATGATACGGTCGACAGAGTCTTCGTCAATCAGGGTCTTGACAAACTGTGATTGACCTACACGGATAATGGAGATCATAATCAGCATGGCCTCAGCACGAAGGGCGTTTGTGCGTGCAGCATCCGTCGAGATCTCCCCATGTCGCATCACCAACTTAGTTAGGGTACTCGACAGAACTGTAGCAAGGTAGTAGTCGCCATCGAGGAGAAGTTGTCGGAGCGGAGGCTTCTGCGAGTTCTTGACAGCTTCGAGTTTTGCCTTGGCGGCAGCCGATGATGTAAGAGCGCTTTCGGTTGCATATGTTCCATCAGCAAGCACCTTTCGCGATCCGGTCGGAGCAGCTGCCTTTGTGTGCCCGTTGACTTGGTCAGACGAGTCTTTGCCTTCCGAAGCCTCGTCAAGTAACCTTTGCTCAGAGGCAAGAATCGGGATCTCGCCAAGTGATGATCGGATGCCCTTCCAGGCGTCCCTGATGTCCTTGGCTTCCAGAGAAAACTCTCCAATAATCCAGAGCACACCTCTGTAGACTTTGCCAGCGCGTACTTCACCAAGCGTCGATACCAGTCGCTCAATGATGGAGACTCTGAGGTCGGGGAAGCGCTCGACAACCTCCTTCACGAATGAAATGACGTCGACCGCAGAGGCGTTGCTGCTGACATCCGAGATAAAGTCCATGAGCGATCCGACAACGCTGGCGGCGACCTCTGGGAACTTGATGGCAGCCGAGTGTATCGAAGAGATGAGCAGTGACCGGTACTCAGAGTTCTTCTCGTACTGTTCATCCACCGTCTTCATCAGCTCCTTCTTGAGCAGGAGGACAACCTCTTCAACATTTCTGCTCGAAATCATCTCCATGGCAATACCCAGTGACTTTTTGCGAACATCCAAGTCGGTACTGGACAAAACACGAAGAATCTCCATGGTCAAGTCATCGAGGACACCTTCATTCTTATGCCGTAGTTGATCGACCCGCTCCAACACTATCAATTTGACATTGTTATCCGGTTCCTTAATGGCCAAGTCGACAAATTTTCCAGCGGCCGCCTTGACCGCGACTGGGTTGCTCGTGAGTGTGGTGAGCGCATGTGCGGCCTCGTAGATGACGGTCGATACCTGCGACTCAAGGAGGTCGAATATCAGTCGGAGATAGCGTGCCTTGTTTGAAGGGTTGACAATAGCATCCTTGCGAATAAACTCCAATTCTGCGAGCAATAGAAGCTCCTCGTGGTTGGGTATGGCATCAAAGACTGTGCTCAAGTATTCGAGGGCCTTGTCATGGCTGACGGAGGTGAGGGCGGCGAATGCATTGCGTTTGCATGTTGGATCGTTTTCGTCGTCCAAGAACGTTACGAGGAGATCGGGCGCATCTGGCATGAGCTCGGGGAGGTGTGTAAAGATGGATGCAATCGCAAAGGTTGCATTCTTTCGGACGTATGCGTGTCGGTGTGTGAGGCACTGGCGCACCGGTTCTAGCATTGCGGTCAGCATAGCGCCTGGAACTGCATCTGCTACAGCACCTACGTAGTAATGGCTCTACAAGTTCCGCATCCCGAAGCTTAGTTCTGTCCAACGCATCAGCAGTGCTCAAGCAAGTGTTGTCGGTATCCATACACAAAGCGCAATGTGTTTCCTCGTACGTATTCGTTGGGCGCCTGCAAGTCGAATCGAATCGCATTGCTATACCATTGTCAGCGGTCATATCCCTTCGGTCTTGTATCCCGCACACAAAAACACCTACCAGACCAATATCCACTCCTGACGTAGCTTGCCCTGAGCGTCGTGTTTTGGGCACACCTCGAAGAAGAAGTACATGAGCTTCTTTAGCGGCTTTGACTTGCTGGGCATGACGAATCGGATGATGTGCATGAGGAGCCCTGTCTGAGGGTCGCCATTGAGCATGATGGACAGGATCTTCTTCTGTCGGGTTGTTAGACGGCCAGCTGGACCAAGGCGGGGCAGTTGCAATTGCGAGGGCGCACCATGGTCTCAATCTTCTGCTCATCGCTACCCTTCTCGAGGGCAGTCTTGAGCTCATTCTGGGCGGGAACATCGGCTGCATTGTCCTGGTGCACCTGTTGCGCTCCGTCAGCTTTGCCCAGCTCCACGCACTGCCAGGTGTTCGTACCAGACTGTACGAATTCTCTAGAAAGGTCGCCATGATGGCGCGTGAATAGTATAGGCGGGTTCCTGTGAGTCTTGAAGTATCCAGCTACAATGGCGTGGTTCTCGTGGCGGCCGTCAATGCTCACTTTCCCTGGGTGTCGAGAATAAGTGGGATGCTACGTGTTTTGATCGAGTGCGGTGGTAGGGAGCGTTGTGCGGGCTGATGTGGCCGCGGCCGGGCGGAATGGATGAGGATATGGAGTGGCCTTGGGCGGAGAGGTGGCTTCTTTGCTTCCCAAGGTACAGCGCTTCCGTTGTCGGGGTTCATGTGTATACGTCCAGGTGTCTGCTCGAGAAATGGTCGTAGCACAGACCACCTCACACTAGTAGAGTGCTCCACCGAAGATCGTGAACGCGGCGACGACTCAACACCAACTACCCAACCGACGCGTACATAAATATCACACAAGGCAGAGTCTCCCTCGAACACGAGCGACCGCAGCCATGAGCACCAACGAGCCATTTTACTTGCGATACTAGTACATCAGCCTACTTGCACTTCCAGCACGTGCTTGTTACTAACGCTTTGGCAGCTCTGGTCATCAAGGCCGCTTCGGACACGAGTTTCTGGGTCGGTGATTGCCTTGGAATGGCTAATGGAGACGAAGCGCTGACATGGTGCAGAGTTTGACTTTCGTGTTCTTGGAGACGGCCGCAGCGCATCTGCACGCTATGCAAACAACTCCAACTACCGCAACGACTCACTGATCCGAAAAGAGAGTATGAAGAGCCAAATCCCTACGACGAAAACTTACTAAATTTGTCAGTGTGTGTCAGCGACACCTTGGTGGCTGAGATCAAGCGTATTGTCAAAGAAAGCGAAATCCTCAAGTACGGCACTAATGGAGATTCACCGAGAAAATCATTGTGCTAATTTGATGATTAGAGAAGATGACACAAAGTGGCCTCAAAAGAACAAGGACGGTCGTCAAGAGCTGGAAATTCGATTAGGAAGCGAGCACATCTCCTTTGAAGTTGGTGCCTCATGATACATCAACCCACAGCACACTGACAATGCCAGACTGCGAAAATTGGATCGCTGCAAGATGTCTCAGAATCATCGGATCCAGAAGGCCTTCGTGTTTTCTACTACCTGGTCCAAGATCTCAAGGCCCTTGTCTTTTCCCTGATAGCCCTCCACTTCAAGGTAAGTGCACTCTCGGATACGTCATGTATATTTTCTGACACTGGTACAGATCAAGCCAATCTAAGCTTTTAATAACGGCTGGTTGCGTGGCTTGTGGGTTCGCTGATCCCGGGAGAAGGGTTGTCACCACGACCACAGCAGACCGCACGCATTCTTATTTGCATCTGATAGAGGTTCAGACACATGGATTGCAGTGAATCAACGAACATATGTCCACAGCTGGCGGTATCCAACTATACCCAGCTCTGCGTAAGAGGGCGTGCAGACGTTGGTGTTGGACGCATGCTGGCGAGGGAGCTACTGGCACTCTGACCAACGACATGCAGGCCCCGTGCCCGGATAAGGTTTTATTATTCTAGATAGACGCACGTCTGCGAATTTATCCATCAAAGTTGACGTACTTGCATGTGTGTTCCGGTGCAATGGAGCTGGCCATGGGCGTGGTTGAATGTTTGGGCCCCATGTCATGCCACGTGAGGCTAGCGTCTTTCCCCGCGAACATAGGCGCAGGCCTTGGATCCACTCATCGCCTAGACACGTCCGCCGCCGAGTCCAAGTCACCGTTCCAGCCCGGGCATGCATCTCCTCGCCACGACTTTTTGAACCCTGAACTTCCCACTATACTGTCCACCCGCCCCTCCCATCGTTGTTTCGTCCCATGTGTGCTTAATCAGCCTCCCTCCCTGTGAAACCGTCGCCCCACTCGAGCGGACGATGCCGACACCGGATGATGCCATGGTTCCGTCGGTGGAGCACGAGAGCATCACCGGCCGCGCGACCTGTCCCCCAGACGAATCGCGCTCCGTTACTGCACAAGAATTGAACCAGCTGCGACTGTCGAGCCACAGCAGCGATGCCAGTCGTGCATCTCATGCGCCCATGCAGCAGCCCACTCCGCCTCCCCAGGATTCTCCAGAACATGGCCAGACGCCAGCGGATACCCACAGCAAGCCCTCGACCGCCGATATCGAGACCCCAGCCCGGGACATTCCCACGCCCATGACTGCAACCGATGACGGCTCCGAAGAGCAGCGCACATCGCAGGCATCGCCACAGTCTGCCATTACGCCCGTTTCGCTTCTCGCCAACCACATCTCGTCGCCATTCCCTGCGCATAGGGTGCGTCGACACCATGCATCTGATGAGTTTAGCTGATAGCAGAACAGTTTCTACCAAACTCCTCGTCATCCCTCCTCCGACCCGGAAGTCGCTTTGTGGGCAGTCAAACGTCCGATCGTCAAAAATACGAAGTCGAAGTCGAGATAAAACATGTCGATATGCGTGAGTCCTTCATGTGTGGATACTTGCGCATCAAAGGTATGTACCCGTTCTACTGCCATGGTGACCTTGGATGCGAAGACTAACTCGTCGACAGGATTAACCGAGGATCATCCCAGCTTGACTACGTACTTTGAGGGCGAGATCATCGGAAGCAAATACACATTCATTACACAGCATCCCGAATGGGGCTCCAACGAGAAGGTTGACCGCCAACATTGGGCTCGATTCCCTGCTTATAAGCCACTGTCCAAGAACTTGTCGCGCCCTGAGCTGGTGACCAAGGACTGGATGCACAAGGAGCATCTTTTCATGCGCTGGAAAGAGTATTTCCTTGTACCGGACCACCGAGTCCGGACAATAAGTGGCGCAAGTTTTGAGGGCTTCTACTACATCTGCTTTAATCAAATGTCTGGCGGCATTGAGGGCATCTACTTCCATGCTAAGAGCGAGAAGTAAGTGTGGGCCATGACACCCTAGCCAGGACGCAGCTAACAAGACTCCAGGTTCCAGAAGCTCCAACTAGAACACGTCCAAGATTTTGGGTGTCAGGGTGCCATTGAGTTCCGATGATGTTAATGATTACACGAATTTGCATTTTTTGGGATGGATTTAGCATATGGGCGCACTCTGGGTATCGGCTTTGTTGTATGGTATCAGTTTGGCCACGGACCGTATGCAGCGTGCGAGACGGCCGTACATATTTCTGTAGCAACGGGGCTTAAGACATTGAGGCGGAATTACGTCACCTATGGAATCTGTGCACGCACTGTGGCGCCAACGGCTGTGTTCCTCCACACGTCGTGGGCCAGCAGCGACCCTGGAGCTAGTGAAAAAAGCTTGATCCACATGGGCCTCGCTTCGTGATAGGTGTTGACCCATTTACCATTACCTCAGCACCTGCATTTCCCTTTTGACTGACCCGACTGTGTCTGTCCGCCGACTTTTGTACATACGCCCAGAAAAGAAGTCACCATGCCAGGCGAACCAGCAAAGCGCACGAGGCGCGAGGAGTACAAGAAGTCGTTGCAGGCCGATGAGCAAAATGCAGCCCTGCCAAAGAAGAAATTCTACAGACAACGTGCCCATGCTAACCCATTTTCGGATCACTCTCTCACATAGTACGGTGGCTTCGTGATTCTTTTTTTTTGTCGTCATGTTTCAGCTGCTGACATGGCGCAGTCCCAAGAGCCCCGCAGATATGGACTGGGCCAGCCTGTATCCCGCCTACGCCAAACATCAGAAGCAAGCAACAGAAGGAGAGACGGCGAGCGAGTCACATGACGTGAGCGTAGAAGAGCAACGGAAACTCAACGAGGTGACGAAGAATGTCGAGATTGCAGACATTGGGTGTGGGTTCGGTGGCCTGCTTTTTGCCCTTGCGCCAAAGTTTCCCGATACATTGATATTAGGTACTACAAAACTCTCCTTCGTCTTGGAGATTTATTTTCTCTTTTCGCCTTCCCGTTATTATCTATACAGCAGAGCAGTATGCGTTATACTAACACCAACATTCAGGCATGGAAATCCGCACATCAGTCACAGAGTACGTGCAAGAAAAAGTCCGCGCCCTGCGCATCCAAAACGCCGCAACCAACGGCTACCAAAACGCATCTTGCATCCGCGCCAACACGATGAAATTCCTACCCAACTTCTTCCAAAAAGGCCAACTCGCCAAGATCTTTCTCTGCTTCCCTGATCCCCACTTCAAGCAGCGCAAGCACAAGGCCCGCATCGTGTCGTACACGCTCAACTCGGAATACGCCTACGTACTGCGTCCCGGTGGCGTTGTGTACACGATTACCGATGTGCAGGATCTGCACGAGTGGATGAAGGAGCATTTTGAGAAGCATCCGAGTTTTGAGCGGGTTGAGAGACGGTTTGAGGAGGGCGAGGGTGAGGATGGCGAGGGCATGGATGAGTGTGTCAAGGCGATGCGGGTGGAGACTGAGGAGGGCAAGAAGGTGGAGAGGAATAAGGGGTTGAAGTTTGTGGCGTGCTTTAGGAGGATTGAAAATCCGCCATGGCCTTGATTGAGGGTATTTCAGGTGCTTTTCCAAAGGATGGGGGGAATTTGAACAGAGTCCAAGCGGAAAGATAACAGTTCTATCCATTGCTCTATATTCTTCGTTTAAGAATTCGTCTCTAGGATATCTCTACCTTATTCATTTCTAAAAAAAAATCCCTACTTCCTCCCTCACAACTTGGGAAACCTAACCCTCAAAAACTGGTTTGGCCACGCAACATCAAGACCCAGTTGCCAGGCAACACGCAGCACCCACTCGGGCTCCCTCATAAACTGACGCGCAACCAGCACGACATCAGCCAAGGGCTCCTTACCCTCTGTAACCTTAACCGCAGCCTGTGCCTCCTTTGCGAGTTCCTCATCCCCAGCCTTTGGAGCCGCACCATCTTCAACGATATCCCTCGCCTGTTCGGCTTCAGTAATCAATCCTACAGCCCCGATGAACAAGTTGAGATTTTCCTTCTTGAGCTCGCTACGGATCTGCGCGGCGATCCTCGTCTGGTAGTCCTTGGACTCGAACATATTGATGCGCTGCTCGGGGTGATTGCCTCCACTGCTTACATCGAGGAGATCGACACCGAGGGCGGGCAGGAGCTTGGCGAGGCGAATTGAGCTTTCGACGTCCCAGCTGCCAAGTTTCTTTCCGAGGTCTGTTTCTTCCATCCAGTCTGTGGAGCTGATGCGGAGGTACAAGGGCATGGAGTCTGGGATGACTGCGCGGATGGCCTTGATGATGTCGATGAGGAGGCGAGTGCGGTTTTCAAAGGAACCGCCGTACTGGTCTGTTCGCTGGTTGGTGACGGGGGAGAGGAATTGGTGGATGAGGTAGCCGTGTGCGCCGTGGATTTCGATGACGTCGACTCCGGCTTTGACGGCGCGCTGGGCGGCGGCGGCCCAGTCTTGAACGAGCTCTTGGATCTCGGCTTCGCTGAGGGCGCGGGGGGCCCAGTAGCCGCTGTTCTCGTCGTCGGCTGGTAGGTTGTCCCATACCCATTCTTGGCCGCCCATGGGACCGACAACGTTGGTGGGCCACCCCGCGGCGTCGACGTCGGCCTTGACGCTCACTTTGCGCTTTCCGCCTTGGGTCTTTTGGGAGCCCGCAATCCAGGGTGCGCAGGTACTGGCCTTCCTGCCGGCGTGAGCCAGTTGGATGCCGCATTGAGCTCCTTGGCTCTTGATGAAATCAGAGACTCGTCGCAACGCGGGGATCTGCGAGTCACTCCAGAGGCCAGGGCAGTTTGGCGAGATGCGGCCGTTGGCTTGGACGCCGGTGGCTTCAATGAATACCAAGGCGGCTCCTTTGAGGGCGTAGTGGCCCAGGGTGGCAATATGGTAATCGGTCAATGCGCCGGTTGAAGGGCCTTCAGATGCTGAGCTGTACTGGCACATGGGGGCCACCTGGATACGGTTTCGGAGTGTGGTTCCACGGATAGTGAGGGGCGTGAAGAGCGTTGGAACCGGAGCATCTTGCTTGCTTGAGGGAGGAATGGAGCCAGGACTTGTGTCGTGTTTGGGCGTGAAGTAGGGCAGGCCTGGTACGCCGCGGTTGTAATCTTGAGGTGCCATTTTTGGGGGGATTTTCAGTTACACTTGGCGAAGAGGTCGGAGTCTGGACTCGAAGGAGAGGATGCAGTTTTGTTCAAAAAAGTCCTGTAAGCAAGGATTTATTTAAACGTTTGGTAGTGCAGCACGCCATAGGAGTGATTTGTAAGGTGCCGAGGTAGATTTCCACCTTCCAGTTTCACCAAGAGAGGTAGTTTTTTTTCTTCTCTTCTAGACGTCTTGCTTATCAAGACAGTTTGCAGTGGTGCAACCCTCAGCCAATGATCTGTGCATGGTTATTGCCGATGCTAATCTTCGGATTTAAGCTCACTTGGAAATACATGACTCCGTAGGCTGTTGTGGGGCGAGATGATCGTCGTATCGAGGGTGTGAACAGCAGCATCTCAAAAGCAGACGAAGACTACAAGGCCAAGATCGGTGGTTTGATGTGCAACTGGGATGGTAGTACTAGCAAATGCAGGGTCCACGCCTCTTGTCCACGCACACGCGTGACTGCGCGTCTGTCACGGATCGATGATGTAGTCTCGATGACGTCAACTACCAGCTGTCCCATATAGTCTCCGGTGGCCGCCAGTGATGATTGTACTTTGTATCCATCTTTGCTCTACTATACGAATACCACTCTGATTCATCACGCATCCTATCAACTACACAACTTCCTCAAATACAACATCATGTCTGCCGCACCAAACCAGCCCGGCCTCGTCTCCAGCCACGCCCAGTATGTCAAGGGCGCCGCTGAAGTAAGTACTACCTACATCCCTTTGAAGTCTACTTTTATCCCTTTACTGTATACTAATAAGTGTTAAAGGAAACCATCGGAAATGTAACGGGCAGCGAGCCATGGAAGGCATCAGGCGCCTCGGACAAGGAGCACGCAGTCGAAGCCATGAAGGCAGCATCCGCAAACCGCGACCCACAGCAACAAGGCATGGGAAGTCTTGAGGAAAAGGCAGGCAACTTGGTTGGATGTGAAGGCATGCAAAAGGAGGGTGCTCAGAGCAAGCAGTAAGAGAGGGCAGACTACTACCGGATTGAATCAGCATCACGTCTATCATCATCACTCTTATATATAATATATAATTGCAAGATACTAGTTCTGCACCCACACTCCTACATCCCTGGCACTAGACACAAAAAGATACGTTTGTGTTGCTAGTATACCCTCGACCTTTCTTCTAAGTTTTCACTACCTCTATACAGCGTGCGTAAGTGGGTAGAGATATGGTTTTGCGTAGTTACTCCGTGAGTACTCGCCTCAAATACAATTAAGTGGTACGATCTGATTCTGATCTGAAAATATCCCTCATAGATAATCAATACTGCTAGCCAGGGGTCGGATAGCATTATGTACGTAGGTAGAGTTTAGTGGGCGATTAGCAAAGGTGCGCCATCCACCTGTATCGTATATCACAGCATCCAAGAAATATCTTTTGACATCTTTGTGTCTTTCTGTGTGCGAACAATGGTGTTCAAGCAGCTCTGCGTATCTGGATACTTGCAGATTTACAGCTGCGGAGAAAAAGAATTCCTTTTTTTGACCTACGTAGCTTCGTGATGTGTTTTGCGTGGGTTGTCACTCATTCAACGCTTCACCTCCCTTCTGGAAGCTCATGCGTCTGCCTATAGTCCCCAGGAGCTTCCACCAGAAATCCTTGCCTGGGATTTTCCCCAAGTCCCCTTAAATCTCTTGAACTGTGTTCTGATATCGCCCAGGGCTGCTTTGCCATAGCTGCCTCGTTGCCTGGTCCACCTGATCCTCCCTGCTCTGATACTGGTGGCCATTGCCCTGCTGAGGATGCTGCCTCATTGGAGATTTTGCGAGACCTCTGGCGACGCCGATAGAACCAGATATAATAGATTACAGCACAAATCAGTACCGCACCAAGGGCAGATCCCGCACCAATGCCGATGATAGCGGCTTTAGGAAGAGTGACATCGTTGTTTGATGTTGGTCTAGGTGCTTGAGTACTAGAGGTCGCAGATGATGAGGAAACGATAGTGGTTAATGAGGCGGTAGCGGTTGGTAATACAACCGGAGAGACCGTCATTGTACTGGTATCGGTGACAGTATCCAAGGTGATCGTTGCGCTATACACATTCATTGCGTAAAAGCCGCCGCATACGGCGTTCGAGTCGCCGGGGCAGGGTGTGGTGCAGCTCGGTGGCGTAGTCATAGTTGTTGTGGCTAGGACATTGCCGCAGTAGCACTGTGTTGCGAATTGGACACCAAAGATTGTGTAGCCCGACCGTGAGCAGCTGTTCTCTGTTAGCGCTCCTGATCCAACTCCTTAAATACTGTATTCAGGATGCGGTCGTCACTACGACCGTTCGCACTTTAGGTTACGGAGGTAATCCTCCAGGCTGTTCTGATCTCTTAGGTGTAATAAGAGAATTCAACTCACAAGTTGCCGCACAAAGTGGGCTCCAAGGAAACAATGTTAATTGAAGGCCCGCCCAAAACACGTTTATTGCCGTCATCGCCCACACAGCCTTGGTAGTCGTAGCCGTCGACAGAAACGGCCGTGACATCTCGAGGGCGCAATCGGACATCTCGAGGTAACGGTAGTAAAGATGGTTCTAGTGTCGGGCCTGTAGTAATGGGGCTAATCCTCGATGGATCTTGAAATTTGGAACGTGCTAAGTTGGAGGGATCTCCATCATATGATTGTGCCCAGATCGGTACTGCACTAAGCAGGATAATAGTTGTGATAGGGAAGTAGATACGTCTCGCCCATGACCAATGTGGTTTTGCCATATCGATCGGTGATAGTGGATTAGGATAGCAGGTAAGGACGGTGAGGCTGAAGACGAAGTTTCCGTTTGCTACTATCACATAGAGTAAAGTGGAAGCTTTAAAGTACCAGGAGAACGGATTAGAGGACGGATCAGAGGGATGCACACACATCCTGAAGAGGCTAAACGCATACTCCTCTGTCTGCCTTACGTCGTCTAAGCCTGCCTACCTACCCGATAATGCAGGGGCGGAATATTTCGCTAGCGCCCTCTTTCTCCGAGTCATTGCTTCTACATGTATCACAAGCTAGAGAGCCTAATGCAAAGTCAAGGGGCTCACAGCTAAAGTAAAAGGGAAGATAACGTCAGAACAGACAACAAGGCTGAACAATCATATCAAACGTCTATAACAGCCATTAATTAGACTGTATGTAAATTATATTTACAGTAGAGTAACAAGATGGTCTTGAGGATCTGCGCGGAGGTGATATTCGGCCTTGCACTTGCTTCTTGGCAGCCTAACCGATTGCTTTCATATTTGGCGGGCCAGCCCGCCCCGGGCAAACCTAACTGCTGTCAGTAAGGCGGCTATCGGGCATCACTACTCAATAGGAACGAAAAGGCGATCAAGTTTCAGGAAGTATTGACGTGTGGCTTAATCGTTTACAGCATCTTCCGCGGGTGGCACGGCGTCGAGTTTGTTACGGTAACTATTGGACCATTATTGTACAACTAGATCACCTGAGCTCGCTAAAGCCTGTACCCATGGGCGCCTCGTAGCATGTCGGCGTAGATGAATCTGGATCTCAATTCTGCTGGTCCTTATAAGCTCTGAAGCTCAAAGGTAGTTTCCTAGATATGGAGCAATACTTTGGAGCTTCCGATTTGCCAAACTCTGGTCCTAGTTATATTTTCGCAGGGTTAATATATATCAATTGACAATCTACACACTGAACTAGAGTAGATAAGAACACTCAGTTGATCTCTCAGCTACTCCCGCGAAGATCTACACCTTGCGGCAATTTCCCCATTGCATCATTCACTTTCATCTCAGAGATTGACATGAAGCGGACTCCAGGCTCTGCAATATACCCTAAAAGTACATGTTCTGCGAGCATTGGTCGTTCCTCGTACAAGCGTGCCCTGATAAGTAGCTCTGCAGCTTTTTCATCGGTGGGTTCGGCGTCTATTCGGAACTGAAGTAAGTCGTTCGCACCTTGACGTAATATCGCAGCCTGTAAGGCTACAATCTTGATGCCTGGGAGGACCGCAGGCACGATCTTCCGTATGTCTTGCACATCAATTGAAACGGGTCCAAGACGTAAAGAATGACTATCTCGCGCAAGAAGACGAAATATCCCAGCCTTGTAGCCAACCCATTCGACCCTATCACCCGTTGGATAACGAACTACTGGCATAAGCCTTCGAAGAAGGTTCGTGATAACCAAACTTCCTTCTACTCCGTTCTCTTGACAAAACTCCCCTCTTTCAATGTCTATGTATACCTCTGCAATGATTCCAGGAGAAACTTGGTAAACTCGGGGATCTGTAAGATCCACTAGTTTTCCTACAATACCAGAGTCGGTACTTGCGTAGCGGAAGCTTGTAAACTTTGCGTTTCGAAAGACAGATTGTAGCAAAGACTTCTGGTCTGAAAATAACGGTTCCCCAGCAAACAAAACCAGACGGATTTCCGGGCAAGTCTTTTCTGCAGAGAGACACCAATTTGCCAAGTATACCAAGGCAGTCGGCGTCGATCCAAGGGCATTGACATTGCATTCCTTGATCAAATGTTCCATGGATTCCGGTGCTAAGGAACCACCTATTGATACTTGGATTACAGGTATCGGAAGTGCCATGATGCTGAGTATTTGATAAAGGAGCGAGCCATAGCAATCGCCAGCGTAAAAGAGTTTGCCAAACCGATCTCCGGGCTGCTAGGCCAGCAGAGACCATTTGGTTGGCTACAATATCGACCGACCTTTGAAGCTCAATTTGGGAGATAGCCGTGAACTTTGGCCTACTTGTAGTGCCTAGTTTTATGTAAGTTAGGAACTAAAAAGCAAGTTACTGCATATACCTCCTGTCCGAAGAACAATACCATCGATGTGAGTTCCTGTCATTACTTTACTATTGAGATATTCATTTCCAACCCAGTATTTCGCGTGATCAGTGACTGGAATATTTAAATCGCCATCGCTTGTTGACACCGTTTTATACAGTTCTGGATAGAACAGTGAATATTTCTTTGCAAAGTTAACGTACTCGTTAAATGCATCGAGTTCTGCAGTGATCGTCTGAGTAACAGTCATTATGGAAGTCTTCAACTAGCAAATGGTGGAAGGAATTGTGTTTCTACTAGTTGGTGAAGTTGGTGAAGTTTTACTTGAATAATAATGTACCCATTACTGCCGTGACTCCAAATCGAATACGACTACTCACACAAGGGTTACTTGAATGGGTACAGCAGTTTGGGAAATCAACGTGCAGAATACAATGAGAGCGGTGAGGATTGTGGTTTCAGTTCAGCACCAAGTAATATAAAACTATATCGTATTATTGATTAGTTTTACTAGAAAGGGCAGGCCCAAGAGACCTAGAGCGCAACGTATCGGCATGTCAGCTTACTGTGGAGTTTTAGCGCTGGACTTTGCAACACAGACTAATAAGAGTAGTTCCCATACCGTATATACTCAACGGGCAGAAGCACAGTAGTCTAGGCAATAGCATGATTCTGCTTAAGCATCCGAAGTAGCAAGAATAAGTCACACATAGTATTGATGGCGACACTTGGGGTCAAAATCGCTCCAATAGCCTCTAGTAAATAAGCGCTTTAAGTACTGATACAGTAACAGATCTACGCAAGGCACGGGAATCAATCACTCTACTCGTTAAGAAAGAGGCGTCGTCCTTGTATGCATAAACCGGGGACTTTTCCTGTCCCCGGTTTATGTAGTGGTAGAACAAGTGATAACACGTCATTCCGTCCGATCTGCTCTATACAAGAAGTATGCCGACGGATCAGTAATTAGATGGGGGACTCCTGGGGAATCCCTGCTGTTATGTATATTTCTGCCCGAGTTTCTCATGAGTCACGTAGGAAGGTGTTGGCATGTCTTAATATAATAGTAATTACGCAGGAGTGCGGCCCAAGTTTTAGAACACTCTATCAAAACCAGCTTTTACTCACCAAAGATTCGTTACCTGCGTTTCTATTTTCTTACCTTCCATTTGTTAGAATACTTTGAAAATAAGTCATGTTATTAATAGCTTCCGAGGCCAGACTCATACCGAGCGACTACATTGATGCAAGAGATATAAGATTATGTCTGATGCATAGACACCATATGATATATAGTACTCATGAGCTCTATTTTTGAAGTTTACAAAAATACTTTTGTTGCGTGACCTCTCGTTGGGTTCATTTCAGGTACGATGGCGGAAGTAGATGCTGGGGAAAGCACGGTCCGCCCATGAGACTGGAGCTTCGCGTCATGACCAAAGTCTCAACCACCAACCGCAAGCTGAACCAGCTACGGTACAGCCAAGATGCCTCCCCCAGTCCGCGCGCGTCCTATCAAGAAAGACGACTTCGAGGCGGCGTTTAAGAAACTCAAGACATCCGTCTACCAAGACAGCGTGCGCCCGGCCGCTGTGTCGTCGTCGCACTACATCCGCTCGATATCGTGGAACGCCTCTGGAACTTTTATCGCTACGGGAGCTGCAGACAAGACGTTGCGCATATGGAATCCCGAGAAGACTAACGTTAAGAACTCGACCGAGCTCCGTACACCCAATGCGCCTCCCTTGACCAATCTCGAACGCGTATCTTTCCACCCCATCAATGAGAATGAGCTTGCAAGCTGCGGTACCGATGGTATGGTCAGATTCTGGGACATTCGCTCAAAGGCTAGTGTGGGAGAGGTCAAGGTCGGCGAGCAGCCCTTTACGCTTGCATGGACACCAGATGGCAATGAAATCGTCGTAGGAAGAAAGGTTAGTAGGCTAGCCTTTGTTTCGGCCATGTACTGACTTTTCTGTAGGATAATCTGCTCGTCAATGTCGATAGAGCAGCTCTTAGTATCATCTCCGAGCACCGCCAGCCCCTCCAGACCAACCAGTGTGTCTTTGATTGGTCTGGTAACCACCTTTACTCGACGGCTGGTGATGGAAGCGTTAGATTACTACGCTACCCGTCGTTCGAAAACGCTCTCACACTAAACGCCCATACTTCTGCATGCTATGCTGTCTCCATGTCACCTAGCGGCGAATACCTGGCAGCTGGTGGAGGAGACGCGTTGGTTTCACTTTGGGATACACAGGAATGGATTTGCGTGAGAACCTTGGAGTTGACAGGAGGCCTCGTTAAGAGCGTGGACTTCTCATTTGATGGCAGCTACATCACAGCTGGCTCCGACGACAAGGAAGAGAAGAAGATTCGCATTGCACACGTTGAGTCAGGCGAGATTGTACACACCATCGACGTTCCCACGCCCGCAGCGCACGTCGCATGGCATCCATGCCGATACACACTGGCTTATTCAGCCGACAACCTGGGACTCAAGATTGTTGGAGGCATTAGCTAGGCTGTCATGGAGTAAAAGAAGGGAAAGGAAAAGGAGTTTTGTCAGTTCTAACAGCGTAAATGATACCCCATTGTTTGAACCACACGCGTCGCGTCCTGTCCATCTCCAACCGCGGCCGATTTCCATCTGTGACGCAATCATCTCGCTCTAGCTCGGCATAGTAATAACCCGGAGTGGACTTTCTCACTATAGAAGCTGCCATTTTCTCCAAGTCTCAAATGTTTACAGTACTCTCAAATCAGACTGGCCACCATGGACGTCACAGCACCCATACAACTGAACAATCTATTCTCTGCCAAGGGGCTGGTAGCAGTCATTACCGGCGGCGGTACCGGTACGTTATTTATTCAAGCTCTAAACTACCCCGCTGTACTACCCCGCGCCTCTCCCCTTTGAACAGTCGCTCGCCATGTGAATTTCCAGCAAAAAGGCTCATCAACAACCAACAGGTCTCGGCCTCGCCATTGCCTCCGCACTCTATCAAAGCGGCGCTGAGAAAATCTATATCCTCGGCCGCCGACAAGACGTCCTTCGCAACGCCATCTCCAAACTCCAGTCGGATGTAGCATACAAACCCCATAGCACCTCCGTTCTCAACGACATCGTCTGCGATGTCACAGACCTCGAGTCCGTCAAGGCCGCCGCTGAGCAGATCAAAAAAGATGTAGGCTACGTCGACGTGCTAATCAACAATGCGGGCGTCCTTGGGCCAAGAAACGGTCAGGACATTTACAAAGCATCTTCCATCCACGAACTCGCTGACGCAATGACATCCGACTACGCCGGCTGGACCTCCGCAATGGCAATCAACACACAATCCGTCATCGGTGTCTCCGCGACTTTCCTCCCGTTACTCGAAGCAGCAAACACACGCCGCGGATGGGCACCAGGCAAGGTCACCGGCGCAGGGAACCCGCGTGCCCGCGACACATCGAAGCTGGCGGCCGCCGGTATTGACGCCGACGACGACCGCATGGCACACATCATCACCGTCGCATCCGTCGCTTCGTACATGCGCTGGGTCTCCGCCGGTCTCGCCTACAACGCCAGTAAATCCGCTGCCGCGCACCTGGGCAAGATGATGGCGACGTTCCTGGCGGAGTGGGGAGTCAGAAGCAACGTTGTCTGCCCTGGCCCTTATCCAAGTGATATGACGGCAGATATTACGCCCGTATATGGGACGAGTCAGGTACCGCAGGGGCGGATGGGCGGGCTGAATGATATCAGTGGGTTAATGCTTTTTTTGGTGGGTAAAGGAGGCGCGTATGTGAATGGGACTGTGCAATTGACGGATGGAGGGAGGGTGGGCGTGTTTCCTGCTACGTATTAGCGATGAGAGAAGGGAATCTGAGAGTTGAGAGTAATTTGATTTTATTGATTTGGAGTTAAACTACAATATCGATTGTGATTGAGCCATGATTCAATGCTTTCTCCGTATCCGCTGTTCGACATGTCAGCCTAAACACCATAAGCTAATGCTATAAACAAAAAAAAGCCCTTTGATTCCACCACCTCCTTTACAGAAACTGTTTCTTTCCCTTCAAGTCCCCTCACTTCTTCTTCCCCCCCCCCCTCCTCCTCCTTCTTCTCCTTCTCCCTCTCCCTCTCCTTCTTCTTCTCCTTCCGAGCAGCGCGCAGTGTCCACCAACCCTACATGCGTCCAAGCACACCCCTCACACTTCCCTCAAGCACAACATTACCCTTGACGCTCAACTCGCCAATCCCAGTCTGACCTCCGGAGCCCCCATTGACCCATTTCTGCAGCAGCGCATTGCTCTCCATAGGCTTGATGCTGGGTGCTGCAGTACCAACAGTAACATGGGCAATGGGATTTGCGGTTGTGAAAGCGAGCTCCTCGGTTGCGGTACCAGCATCACTCTCAATTTGAAAGGTGCTGGAGCCATTGAGACGCACGACAAAGGTCATGATGCGGTCGTCCCAGATGAGGCGTTCGAGTTGGACGTCGCACTTGCCGAGTTCTGGTTCCCACGAGCCCTCCATGTTTGTTTTTTGCATGGTTTCATGGAGCTTGATAAGCTTGTCCCAGTATTCTTGGTTTTCGGATGCGGAGGCCCGGTGGATGAGGGTGACGTGGAATTCGTTTTGGACGCGGCGGCTCTGCTTGAGTTGGTTGTACATTCGGGCGGTCATGGCGTCCTTGTCCTTGAAGAGGTCGTCGAGGACTGCGTTGACGCGATTGGTGTTGAGACGAACGGAGAAGTACTCCATGCGTGGAGCCTTCTTTGACTTTGGCACTGGTTGAGATTTCTGGTTGTTCTGATTGTTTTGTTTGTTCTGGTTCCCCTTTTTATCGTTGCCTCCTCGCGATAGGTCCATCTTGAAGTCCGGCGTGTAGTCGTTCAAAGCCCAGTGAATAGCAGCGTCCATATCGGGGTCAGTCGGCATCTGCCTATCGGCAAATAGAGCTGGATATGTCTCAAACATTCTTCCAATGATTGACTCAAGATTCTGGCGCGAGTCAACAGTAGGGTCTAAGTCAATGACCAAATCGAAAAGTTCGTCTGGGCTATCTGAAGGATCGACTGGCTGAAAGCGATGCATGAAACCTTCCATGATCTCAATAATCTCACTTGATCCCTTTGAGCCGGCTTGGATGGTCTGATGGTTATCGCCACGGTCGAGCACACGCGCCCGTGTTGCTTCTCGGATTCGGTCGTAGTTGTGGCGGTCATGAACATAATGCAATGCAACGAAGCGCGCATCTGGCACGTTCTTGGAGATGTCGTTGATGAGCTGGTCTCGCTCGCGCTTCTGGTGGTTGTTGCGATCAGCAATGACGACTGGGTTCGTGACTAGCAGCGAAGAAATCGTGTCGGCAAAGACCTGGCCACGACCTTTTTTGGCCTTGACATTGTCATTCTGGAAGTGACCCCATCCAAACAGCTTGACCAGAGCGAGAGCCAGGGTCGTTTTCCCGCACCCAATAGTTGCAACAGGAACAAGCACAATATTCCTAGTTGCATTCTTGCTCTCAACAGCCCCATTTTCCAGTTCTTGTCGAATGATTTCAGCACCAGTAGTTCCACGCGAGGCCAAGAACTCGTCACGCATCTTGATGATGCCGTGATTCTCGTTATAAGCCTTTGCCAGGGTCTTGTTTTGGGTGAATTTCCAGCGCGCAAAGTCAAGGTACTCCTTGGTGATTGCCTCGTGCTTCTTGTAACGCGGCACTTTGCCTGCGATGAGGGCTCTAGTGCACTCGCGCCACTGACGGTACATGAGATATGGCTCCTCGAACTTGTACTTGAAAAACCAATCCACATAGGGTGCGTTCTCAGTCTCGCGTGCCTGGCAGCGGATGACGAAACCCTCTGTGTCGCGACCCTCGTAGTTGCCCGTCTCCGCAACCTTATCCAAGAAGGCCTTTACTTTCTTGATGTCGTTCTCGATTACGTATGTGACCTTCTTCATGCCCCACTCTTCGGCGAATTTGTCGACCAGATGGCCAGGATATGTAGCAAAGTCAGGTAGGTTCAGGTTGATGCCGTGTACGTAGAGACCAGCCTGCTCGGGAGTATATGCCAGCACATGCTCTTCGAATTCGTCGTCGCATAGCTCTGCTACTAGTGTCGCGTTCATGGATCGAAGAGTACGCGCCAGTTCCGCCTTGGTCCTGCCGACTTTCGCAACATGACGCTCAACCCACTGCTCGCCCGCAACAGCGTGACTGAGACCTCCCTCCCGAGGGCCTGTAGAGTGTTTGCTGCAGACCAGTAGTGTGTCGTCGTCTAGGCCAGCTACGAAGATGATACACCCGTTCTCTTTCACACTCAGCTCGTACGGACCCCGTGTGTTGTTTTCGACATTTTTCCATTCCGTCTTCCGAATCTCTCCATGGTTGAAGAACTTGTCGTACCCTCTGACTGCAATCTCGTAGTTGCCCTGCATGTTCTTGTATGTGAAGAGTCCCCGCGCATACGTGGGGAGGTTCTCTTTCTTGTAGTCCCAATCGTTCATTTTCCATGAGTCGACAGTTCGGCCGTTGGGGAGTGGAAATGTGTGTTTTTTAACTGAGAAACCACCCTTTCCCTTCTTGCCCTTGTGTGCCTCGAGAGCGTGGACCAAATCTGTGACCTCTTTTGGGTCTTGCGGCACGTATGGCGCTCTCTCGCGGTGCGCCATGATTGCCGTGGACGCAAACGAACGTCGGGGGATGAAATACTTTTGGATATGTGGTCGGGGTCGTGCAAGGACGGAAAGGTGAATCTGGGATAACGACACTTGTGAGCGAAGGGAGGCTGCGTACAGATGCGACAATGTGCAAGGGCGGGGAGAATATTGTACTATAAAAGTGGCGCGCATTGCCGTAGAAAAGAACAAAACAGAAAATATGTGGGCAGTGCAGTCGCGATGAGTCAGTTTAGAAAGGGAATTTCATACCAAAGCTCAGCCCTTGCTAGCGAATACGGCAGAGGGCGCAAGTTGCAGTTGTTTTGAGGTCAGTGTGTAGTAATTGCTTCAGCTGGTCGCGATGAGATCACAGCCTTGGTGCCTGACTCCCGCGGGTGGGGTACACACTAGCCTTTTTGGTCAGAGTCATAGTTGACTTGTGATGAACAAGCCTTTATCATTTTCATATCATTTTCAAGTCAATGTGGGAATCATGTAGAGAAAACTTCTTTGCTTGTTTTCTACGGGACTTCGCTATCTAAATACACTACAATGAAAGTTTCTTGACGCCTTCAGCCAGTATTTTCTCAACCTCATCCTCGTGTGTCGAAAAATTGTCGACGAGATTGTCCCTAGGTATACGTCAGTAAGGCGCTCGTATATATCATGGCTCCGTTCACTACTCACCACATCCTGGGGTTGTGCTCGTGCTTCTTGTTGCTGTTCCATGCCCAATCGGTAATGGTAAACATCCTCGAGCTCTCCATCATAAAGGCGATTGCGCCCTTTGAGATTTGCATCTCAGGCGGTGGTTGCGCGCTCGCAGCTTTGAACTTGGGAGCTGTTAGCATTGCTCATCAAATTTCACTGATGTTGACTTACCTCCTCGTATGCGACACCATGAGGCACAAAGCCACACTCAAAACTGACACCTCCGGGCTGAAACTCGTCGGAACGACCTGCGTATTCTCCATAGATCAAGCCCATGAGCTCAGAGGCGCCGTTGCGGTGGTAGTATGGTGGGCGGTATGCTAGGCAATAGTCAGTCTTGTCCTTTCTCACAGATGCTCATAACGTACTGTGTGAAGCCACATCCCATCGTGGACTGAAGATCAAAAAGTCGGCGAGCGGCGCAGCTGGATCGCGAGAGGGAGCCGTAATGACGCAGAAGATGGAAGGATCAATGTGATCAACCGAGATTGAGCCAACATTGACAAACTTTGTCAAATCGTACTTGAACGGAACATAGTTGCCATGCCACGCGACAACATCAAACGGCGAGTGTTCCTGCTTGCTAACGAAGAACTTTCCAGCAAGTTTGTAGACAATCTCCCATGACGCCTTCTCAATCTCGTATCTTGCCTTGGGGTGCAAAAAGTCTCGAGCATTGGCAAGGCCGTTGGCTCCTAGTGGGCCGAGCTCTGGAAGTTGGAATTGCGATCCCCAGATTTCTGCATCACATCAGTTTGCGTCAAGTAAATTCCGAGACTCGAGTCGACCTACCCAAGATGTAGCCTCGGGTTGGTCCTTCGACCTTGACCTTGAATCGCTGTCCCCGTTGGATCACGCAAATTTCACCTGGTTGCACATACATGGGCCCAAATTCAGTCAGGATGTCTAATGCTCCCTGCTGAGGCACGATCAGAAAGTCTCCATCCGAGTTCACTGCGGCCCTCCTGTTCATGCTCGCATTGCAAAGATACGTATGCACTGCTAGACCCTCACGTAGTGTTGGCTCACCCGAGCCAGCAATAGTCTTGAGGCCAGAAATAAAATCAATATCTCCATCCTTAGGGATGTCAAACGGAAGCCAAGCTAGCTGCGTAGGCGAAACATGGACTCGCTTGTTGGAGGGGAGGAAGTTGGACTCCGTATCCTCATTGTCTGGCAAATCGGTCTGTGAGCATGTGTCAGCGCATGTAAAAATGTCACCGCCACTTGATGCTACTGCGCCATCCACATCCTCCGACACTTTGAGGTCATGTTTGTTCTGAGAGGACCAGAAACGGGCCGAATATGACGTGAGGCGTAATTCCGTGTCCGACCTCACCGATCGGTCAAAGAAAAGAGAGCTCTTACAAATCCTTGATGAGCGACAGCAGGTCGCGCCCGGTAGAGGTAAGCCTGAAAATGACGCGTCAGCACGTATATTGGCTACCTTGGTTTACTGGTATAACCTTTTTATTCAGATGCCTGGGA